TCAGTGTTTTTCTGCTGTGATCCATTTCAGCCCTCTGAAAGGGCTCTCTTGATTTGAGAGTTAGAAAGTGGTCACCAGCGCGTCATTGTTGCTGGTTAAAATGAGAATTATTGCAGTTGGGCCTGTTTCAAGCCGTCGTCTGTCAGCCCTGAAAACGCTTCATAATAACACTCAATTATGCATTCTGGACCGAGTTGCTAGGTGACGAGCAGCCTAAATGGTGCTGAGAGCATTCAGCGGTCACTCCGAATGGTGGGCTGACAGAAGGCCCGCTCTCGAGCCTCAGACAGACTCGAAGAGTCACATCTGGTGATCACAAGGCGACCCTCGAGCTGCTGGACGGAGGGGCTGGTGGAAGCCCAGCTGCTCCTTCACTTCCTGAGAAATGCACAACTTTAAGTGCACAGTCTAACGTTTATGGACTTGGACAGTTATGCTTTGTAAGACAGAAGTACAATTTATATTTAATGTAAAATTTATCAAGTGCTGCTGTAAAGATTCGTCACCCTGAACACTTTTCTTCATTAAGTATCAAAGTTGAAAAGCTTACATTTGTCTGCCATCGTCATTAAACTTCATCTACTTTCCTTCATCTCCATTACCTCCTAGTTGAAGTGCTGCAAGTGCTTCTACCATATCTATCCTCCTCCTTTTGTTAAACAATGGGGAGTTTCATGGCCGTCGTCTTGCAGATCTCATTTCTGTGCAGGGTTTTTCAGGATGACGTTTTTCTTGTCAAACCTTCCTCCTGTGAGCCGGAGCTTTGTTGTGTTTCAGAGCAGATCTGAATCCAATCAACAACAAAAGGAAACAGACTGAACATCAAATTATTTCTTGTACGCAGAGTTTGATTCCTCTGAATAAAACGCTGGAGAGAACCTGGGGACGGGTCTAATCTCAGGTGCGCTCCCTAAAACAAACCCAATTTGCTGCAGGTAACTTATTCCAAACAAAAAGAAACCGTCAAAAATCTCTAAAATGCTTAAATTGTTCCAGATGAGTAAAACATTTTGTGCTGAGTGGTTGATGAATCCAGCTATAGCTCGAAGCACATTTATCGACACAGACGGAGCTAACCTTTCCAGCGTCATGGTTCATTTCTCCACCAAATTAATTCTTTGAAGCAGGTTGATAACACGGTGAGGTCGCGTCAGTTCACGCTGTCACTTTTATGTACATGGAGGTTTGCACAACACTGACGTTACAAAACCCACAGCCCCCCACACCTGAACCAAACGGCTCACCTGTCGGCCTCGATGAACGACAGCCAGAACAACTCCGGATGGAGGGGCGGCTCTGAGACTCATGTGACCCGATCCTTTTTTAACAAAAACTGATAAACCTGGACCCCCACACGATGTGAATAAACGTCGTTTTCACACCTGATAGTCCGGTGGACTCGGTTCTATTGGGGACCACATTCAGAACATTTGTTTACATTGTCAGCTGGTGCGGTTCTCATTCACACTGCACTGAGTCAGTCGACCTGTTCCCCCGCTCGCCTGTGGGGGCGCTGCACCAAGAACTACTGAAGGAAACGACACAAAAACCTCTGAAGAACAGACGACTTCTTCAGGAAATAAAAACAAAAATGGAGCGGCATCAATTTTTAGCGGTTTCAGGAGTTCTGTTTTGTCATTTTTCAGCAATGGACTCATCATGAGCAGGAGAAGAGGCAGAAGACATGGAGGATGTTGTTTTTCACACAAGGCGGCTGACGGCTCCGTATGAGGTCAGAGAAATGCACGTTTGTTTGCCCTGCGCTGTACTCCACTTCCTGCTTTTGGAGCGGTCTCCGGTCCGCTTGTATTCACACTGCATTCGAACCGCACCAGAGTTCACTACAACCGAACCGAGACCTTGGTTTTTAGGCGGACCAGAGTTCGCTTTTTTGGTCCACACCAGCGTTCGATTGCGCATTCACACCTCCCCAAACAAACCAGACTTCCTAGGCAACAGACTAGTTTGATTAAAGCGGACTGATCAGGGCTGGTGTGAACCCTCAGATGAGTCCAGCTGTCTTCTATCAAACCACAAACAGTCTTTGTATATTTAACATCTGCAACAAGAACCGTTCAATGCCACGTTTACAAAACCGATTCATATCAAATATATACGAACAGTTTGTATTTTCATCAATTCATATTGAAAGTTCTCATGCTCTGGTGTCCATCTGCTGTAACTCCCACTATTTCCCAAGACCGTGACGTTCTTCTGTACTGAAGAAGCCCTCCGGATAGAGGGCGAAACGTCTCTATAAAAAAGAAACTGTCCGGATGACCTGACTGACAATTATTGGATTTGATACCTGGATGATTGAGCATGAACTTTGTTGTTCTTCTGTAAAGCTGAACAAAACTCAACTGCAAACACTGAAAGAATCAAAGATCCTCTAAGACGAGTTGAACCTTGTGTTTGAACGACGAGCTGCCTGTGTGACTTCCAGAATTAAAAAAGCAGTACAAAAACTTAAAAATGTTTCGATCTCCATTCTTTTTTCGGCTGAGCGCTGTCACGGTTGCTAGGCGACAGGACATACGCCGACGTAACTTTGAAGGCTAGACCTGTCCCAATTCACAGCTGCTAACTTCTGGTCTACGTGGTCTTTGAAGGACCCGACCTACGTCGACTGGGAAGGCCGGGCCCTTCGAAGGATGCAGCCGTTGGATTGGGACACAGCTCTAGTGTCATTTTTAAATGTAGCTCTATCGTCCCCTCAGTGGCGACACCTGCTGTTCAGGAGGGCGTCTGCACCGAGTGTAATCTGGCATGATTAAAATATGTCAGTTTGTCTGAGGACCATAATCTGCACATCTCTCCGAGTGCTCTCAGTGTCCTCACACAGCCACAGCTGCATCTTGTGACGTTATGACCTCTGGTCACATGAAGGAACGCTGTTTGAGAAAAGGAACTTCTTAGTGAGAACACTTTTTGAGGTTAATAGCTTTGATTCCACTCTGGAGATCAGCGACATTCCAGGTGACGGCTGTGATTCAAATCAATCGATCTCCAATCTTTTTCAGATGCTTGGTAAGCCCATGAATGTTTCCTCAAAGTGAGTTTTGCCAACGTTTGCAGCTCAAACACAACACCACCAGAGGAAATTAGGTTACGCACCCATGTGGCATTTTTCCTTCAAAGCCAACTGGAGCTAAAGACAAAATAATTAGTTGGTGTGAGCGTGAACGCTGATCAAACACTTCCCTGCGTGGCGGGCAGTAAATTAGCAGTCTGCTCTCATCGGTGGAGACAAAGTCAGCAGTTGTTGCTGCAGCGACCTGCAGACCTCCAGTACGGCTGCCGTATGTGACACTGAGCACTTTAGCTGCTGCCTGCGCGGTAAAATATATATAATTTTTATTTTAATTAAAAATGCAGCCTGCAGAAAACATGACAACATATTTACCTGACTAAGGTAAAGCTCTCAGTCCATCTGGTAACAAAGAGCATCTATTCAAACAGAACTATGAGATTTAATTAAAGGCAGTTTCCTGCTCTTTATTTTATTTTTTACAAAATACTGAATGTTGTGTCAAATAAAAAACATACCGTACCTGCCGCCGTACACGTTGCATCTATTATGCATCACCGCCGACTGCCCAGAAATGTGGGCCGGTGTTGTGCCAAAAATCGATTGGCTGCCAAATGGCAGCCGCCGGAGCGTGCACGGGAGGACTTTAACAAGAATTTAACAAGATTAACACTTAAAACAATTATTTGTTTGCTCGACATTATAGTAAATGTGTCAGTTTAACGTTTCCTTAATAAATGCACTTCAGTGGTCAAATCAGCTGGGCGTCGCAGTGAAATGAAGCTGATTTGATGTTTGCTCCAGGAGTTCCAGAGCAAGACGAAGGTGCTTGGTATGGCAAGCCAAATGTCTCATTAATAGCCACTTTTACCTATTAATGAGACACTTGGCTTGCCAGATTACTCGACTGCCCTCCAGTGGCTTAAAATGGTAGTGTTCAATATTTTCCATGTCAGAATGAATGAAATTGTCAGATCTCAGAAAAAAATTTGGTTATAAATATGGAGAAAACATAAATAAGTCGCTTCGCTGTATGTATGCATGCTGATTTATGCAAAAAGGTGCGAGTTATACAGCAAAAAATACGGTACATAAAAAACGTTTTTTTTAAACCTGTGCAGTCACGAGGCTCGGAAACAACAAAATTTAATTTGAGAGCTGAATCTGTTCTTAATGAAACTCCAGATCCAGCTCGTTATTTTTGTATGATGCTTCAAAGAAGTCAGACGTTTTGTCATTTAATTTCTGCAGTCTTGATAACGAGTTCTCTGAACGTCTCTCAATTTATTTATATGGACGTTGGTGGCTTTTCACACATTTTAGTCCAGTTATCAGACCTTCACTGACTCAACACTGACCTTTGAATCATCGGTTAAAACAACACCTAAACAGAAGCGATGAACTCGTGTCCACGCACATCAGGCATTTAGGAACGTCTCAGGAGGCGCTCTGTTGGGGAATCTGAGTAAAAAACCCACGTAGGCAAAGTGCACCAAGGAGTCCCGACAAGATTCAAACCCGGGACTTTCCTACTGTAGTTCAATTTAAGTCACTGTGTCGCCCCTTGAATAAAACAAATGAGTAAAAAAATTAATAAATGCAATTACTTTCAGCAATAAAATGAGTATCATAAAGCCATGTCTTAAACAAGAAACAAAGAACATCATTATTCTTATCCTACAGACACAAGCCAATAGATTTTATTCTGGCTGGATGCCAGGACAAGGACAGGATAACTGGTGAGACCGACGTGAAAAACAGACGATGATGAGAGGAACAGGCACTCATAATTTAGTTTAAATGCTCAACACTGTCTGATAAAGTCTTCATCAAAGGCTCTAGATCCAAATTTCAAATGAAGTTTTCACATGCCCCCCCCCCCCCCCACACACACACACACACTCTGCCAGTCTTACCTGTAAATGAGTATGTCATCTGTAGAACTGTTGTACTGGATCTGGTACATGCGGACTCCTGGGATGTGGTTTTGAGGCGGCCATCTGATGGTGGCGGAGCTGGAGGTTAGCTCCGACACACTGACCCTCTGCTGGTCGGACCTGGGATGGCCTCCGCTCACGTTGGATTTGATGGACGTTGGGATGTCTGAAGGCCCCGGATCTAGTTCCACTTTGGGGTCGAAGTGCGGGGAAGGGTTGACGACCAACTCGACAGGGGCGGTGGCCTCACCAGCTGCGTTGGACGCTATGCAAGTGAACTTTCCAGAATCCTTAAAAAGAGCAAAACAAAGAAGAAAACATGTTTAATCAGTGACTGTACCTAATAAATTTTGCTGGGCGTTTAATTGTCTCAGAAATGATTGCGATAAACAATAATATTGTTTGAAAAAAAATTCAAGAAGAAATGTTGGGTAATTTTTGTGTGTAGTACCTTTTGTGACCACTGGATGTCAGTATAAGACTGTTTGAACCGAAGGATGGACAGTGAGGGAGCGAGCAGCGTGTCTCTAAGAAAAATGGGAGGGAGGCACCTTGACATGACATGGGCTGTCTCTCTTCGGTTCTCAAAATGGCGGATGCTCGGTGGTTTGAGCTCTTTAGCATTTTTCACACAAAGCTTTTAATTAAAAAAATCAATAAACAAGTTCTCAGCTTCTTTTTTCAGAGAAAAACAACTTTTTAGACGAAGGCACGAGTTTCAACCGCGAATTTTCGACAAGACGGAGGTTTTCCCTGAGGTCAGCCTGTTAGTTTAGCTCGTATCTTAGCTTCTCAGCTTAGCTGCTTTTAATGTCAAAAAACGCAATTTTGGACGTTAAAATTTATTTTAAAAAGAAAAGAGAAAGGGAGGGGTCAGTGAAGAGCACCGGAGTTGAACCTTTTGTCATCCAGTGTCTTCAGAAAGAGAGAGACATGAAGAAACGATAAAGCCGATAAATGAAAATGAGGTCGATAATTTTCATTAATCATGCGATTAATTGATTTATTGTTTATCGCGACAGGCCTAATTGTACCCATGTTTAAACAACTACAATGACCAGAAATTGAAACTGAAACTCTACTGAAGCCTTTTAATACTCCTCTGTTGTTTTAATTTAGTTGTTGTTACAGCTTCAGAGTGTGTTAAACCAAACAGAATGTCCAGTTATTCATTAATACAGGGGTTCCCAACCCTGGTCCTTGAGGAACACCATTCTGCATGTTTTAGTTGTTTCCTGCTAAGGCACAACTGATTTTATCCTGATGCATGCTCAATAATCCTGATTTTAATAAATGGGAGATTACCAGGCTTCTGCAGAATGAGAAGAAGTAATTACATCAGTGAATCAGGTGGAAACTAAAACATGCAGGATGGTGTTCCTCAAGGAACAGGGTTGGGAATCACTGCATTAGCGCACAGTATTTTTTGAGTTCTACAAGCCGAAAAACAAACTAATGGCAAGAAAAATAATAACATGAAACACGAGTCAACTCCTTGAATGTGTCTACCTTGACGGAGGCCTTGAGGATGTCAAGTGAACCGTTTTCATAGCAGATGGTTCTGGACGTGTTTCCGATCAGCTTCCCGTCAGGACTGACCCAGTGAGTCGAAGGTTCAGGATCCCCGATGGATTTGCAGCGCAGGCTGACCTCCTGACCCTCCATCACAAACATCTTGGAGGTGTGCCGAGTTATCATCGGGGGTTCGCAAACAAACTCTTCCTGTGACAGCAGAAGAAGAAAAATGTCCCCACGACCTTTTTACTCAGTAAAAGAAACACGTGAATGGAAGTAAAAGTACAAGAGAAATACATGTAGAATGTTGGATCATTGGATTTAAAAGATTTTTTGTGGAAAAAATACGATAAATTTGCACCTTATCTTTTCAGGGAGACAGTTTCTTTTCATTTGAGATCTGACTAAATCTACGGTTGTGTTCTTCCAACGAGAGGAATCAGTTGTTTCCACACAAAGACGAATCGATCTTGGACGTTTTTAGCCCTGGCATTATTCAGCCCCCCACCTCTGCTAGCACCTCAGCCCGTGCAAAGCCAGCCAGAACCTTGGTGGAGTATTACTGGAAGGCTAAGCGGGGCGTCCAGGCCTTATCGTGACTTACTCCTCGCTCCTACCACTCTGAGTCTGAAAACCTTTTCAGGCTTGGATCTTGTTTCCAGCAGAGCTGATGGCTGACCCGATGACCACTGGACTGCAGCTGCAGATAAACCACTGCCGCCTTCCACTTGTGTTCTGTAAACTCCAAACTGTTCCCGAGAAGCTCAGAGGAAAAAGAATGAGATGAAAGAAGTTATTCCCCGACGTGAGGCCTACAGAATGTCCTCTTGAAGAAACTTTAGCACGTGTGAATTCTCTGAGCACTGATGAACAAAAAACACCACGTGACACAGAGGTCTCTGGTTCAACCCCTTCACAAGGCTAATCCTTTTACTCCACACTGCCTCTCCAAAGACATCCACATCTATTATCCAAAGTGAAGCAAAGGCTTGTAGTACATCTTCTTTAAGATAGCACCAATTAATCCCATGTTTATCTCAGGGCACCTCCATGTAGTGCTGTGGAGTCGTAGCAGCCTGGAAGGGTCAGCTCCTGAAAATGTGCAGGTGAAGAAAAGCCCTACATCACCCCCCCCCCACCAGGAACAACTCCACTGATGTTATCTCAGGAAGTATCAACACAGTAGTTTTCCAGCATGCTGGTTACTCTGTGTTTGGTTTCATCTTTGTTTGGTCCCATCACGGAGAGAAGACAGGGAACTGGAAATACTCTCCGTCCGTCCGTCCATTCATGGATTTTGTGAGCTGTATGGCTGCATGCATAAGAAAGGTTCCTTTTGAAAAGTGGGTTGCTACGTCAAAATCCAAGATGGTTGCTGCTTTAAATGTCTGTCTTAATATTGCTCAAGAGTATAGTTTCCTCAAATGACTGGGGTGACCAAAGAATAATCTATGGTGGCCAAGGCCACCATTGGCCACACTCACCAGGATCTGCCACTCTGCGCTGCCTCAGCCAAACAAACATAAATAAAAATAAACTATCTCTACTCCTATACACAGTGTAACTCCTGAACATCTTATACCAAAAATATTAAGTTTACTTAAGTCTCTGTTCAACTCCAGTCCAGAAAAACCCTCATGTCAAACACTAGAAACATTCATCTCCCTCAGCGATGGAGCACATCGGCGTACAGCTTGTTTTTACACGCAACACACAACAGTTAGGTGCACAAAGTGTTACGCTCTCTGTTGTGCATGTGGAGTTTCTATGGTGTATTGAGTTACAGTATGTGGCTGTAAAATATAACGTCACATTTCATCTTTGTCCTGACGTACACAGCGTCATCTACACAAGAATTATGGATTTATTGGACATGTGAAGAAATTAAGAAGCAACAATGAAAGATGACATTTGCCTGACATAAATAAACCATAACATCAATTATGTAGCAGTGACCCAATAAAAACGATCTCATACTACGCTCTGCTAACGATCTGGCTGCACTATGTTGCTGTCGTGTCCTTCTGGGGTTTTTACGTGTAAGAGGCGTCGCCAGTGCTTGTTTTTCTCATTTCAGTAAGTAGAGATGTGTATCATCAGCTCATTTCTTTATGTTCTTGGCAGAGGAACTGTGTAACTACTACGTTGTTCATGATGTCATGAGGTTGGCGCTACCTGTCGTATGATGATGTCATGAGGTTGGCGCTACCTGTCGTATGATGTGTTCAATAATATTCAACAAACATTTTCTGTTTGTCGTTCATTCCACAACCACGAAGCTGAAATAAACTGAAGCTTGAGCTGCTGTTGTGGTTCAGTTCAGACTTTAAAGACAAGAACACCAGAAGACAAACTGCCAGAGTGAGATTTCCCAGATTCGAGCATCAGAGAGCAGCAAGAAGAGGAGCCAGAAGGTGGTGGTAAGACCACGGTGAGATGTTGACCAGCGACTGACTTTCAGATGGAGGAACTGAAACAAGGCGCTGCTGAAGGACGCACACGTTCTGCTGCAACGTCAAAGACAAAGAAGATGCCACGAAAACGCCGCTACAAAGCAGCACATGGCATCTACTGCTGCAGTACTCTGTGCTCAATCCAACACACATGCACTATACATCACGAGAACGCATCGTTAATGTCACCACATACAGCACAGTGGTGCTTAAAGTTTGTGAAACCTTTAGAAATTTCTATATTTCTGCATCAGTTTCACCTAAAACATCATCAGATTTTCACACAAGTCCTAAAAGTAGATCCAGAGAACTCAGTTCATCAAATGAGACTAAATATTAAACTTGGTATTTTATTTATTGAGGACAATGATCCAATATTACAGATTAGTGGTAAAAGTATGTGAACCTTTGCTTTTAGTATCTGGTGTGACCCCCCCCAGTGCTTTTAGTCCATTCCTCCGTACAGAACAGCTTCACCTCTAGATGATGGTTTCCTCACATTAACTGCAGCTTCAGGTCCTTCCACAACATCTGGATTGGATGAAGGTCAGGACTTTGACTTGGTCATTCCAGAACATGAACTTTGTTCTTCTTGACCCGTTCTTTGGTAGAACCACTTGTGTGCTGAGGGTCATTGTTGCTGCATGACCCACCTTCTCTTGAGGTTCAGTTCATGGACAGATGTTCTGACATTTTCCTTCAGAATTCTCTGATATCATTCAGAATTCATTGTTCCATCAATGATGGCAAGAAGTCCTGGTCCAGATGCAGCAGAACAGGCCCATACCATGATACTAACACCACCATGTTTCACAGATAGGATAAGGTTCTTCTGCAGGAATGATGTTCTCCTTTCTCCAAACATAACTCTTTTCATTTAAAACAAAGTTCTACTTTGGTCTCATTGTCCACAAAACATTCTTCCAACAGTCTTCTGGCTCGTCCACATGATCTTCAACAAACTGCAGACGAGCAGCATGTTCTTTCTGGAGAGCAGTGGTTTCTCCTTCAACCCTGTTGTTCAGAGTTCTCCTGATGGTGGACTCATGAACATCAACATCAATGTGAGAGAGACCTTCAGTTGTTAGAAGTTACCCTGGGCTCCTTTGTGACCTCACTGACACTCCTCGCTCTTGGAGAGATCTTTGTTGGTCCACCACTCCTGGGGAGGGAGCAATGGTCTTGAATGTTCCTTCATTTGTCCACAATCTGTCTGACTGTGGATTGGTGGAGTCCAAACCCTTTACAGATGTTTTGTGACCTTTTCCAACCTGATGAGCATCAACAACTCTTCTTCTGAGCTTCTCAGAAACCTCCTGTGTTCCTGCATGATCCACCAACATGTTGTGAAGATCAGACGTTGGTAGATCCTGTTCTTCAGATCAAACAGGGTGATCACTCACACCTGATCATCATCATTGATTGAAAACACCTGACTCTAATTTCACCTTCAGAGTAACTGATAATCCCAGAGGTTCACATAATTTACCACTAATCTGTAATATTGGATCATTGTCCTCAATAAATAAAAGACCAAGTTTAATATTTAGTCTCATTTGATGAACTGGGTTCTCTTGATCTACTTTTAGGACTTGTGTGAAAATCTGATGATGTTTTAGGTGAAATTGATGCAGAAATATAGAAAATTAAAGAGTTCACAAACTTTCAAGCACCACTGAATGTGCATGTCACAAGAGGTTTCACAAAACGTGCACGTTTTGATTGAAGCTTGCTCTATTTCTTTCTGCTTGAACATCATACAGAGACAAGTTTTCCCTCCGTGTGCTGTTAAGAACTAGGGTTTTAAACTTTTTATTTTGCCACTTGTACTTTTTTTGCTGACAAGCCTCCAGACGCTTCTGATGAAACTAATAACATAAATATATTTATTTTACAAAAAAAGAATAAAACTCATGTTCAGATCGGTTGAGGCCAAGAGTCGAGCTGCAACTGTTTTACCGTTGCCTCTTGTGGTTTAATCACCAACCACAGCTCTGCTTTCTTCTTTTCAGCCTCTGCTTTCTTCTTTTCAGCCTCTATTTTCAGAGCAAAATGTGATTTAGAGACACCTGCTGGGAAACGGCACACAGTCAAGGAGTTTATACGTCTGTTTATGGTCTGCAGCAACACAACCTGGTGAGATGGAATAACTTGGGACTGCTTATTCTTTGAATGGAGTCACAAAACTTCACAGGTAAAATCCAATAGATGTCAGAACATGTGATGTGAAACATACGGTGCAGTCCATCACACGCACTAACGTTTTCTTTCATCGGTGTTTATCTGTGCTACTCTAACGGATGCAGAGCATCGAGTCAGGACATTTTTAAACATCCTCCATGTTGACCATCACTGTGCTTCCACCTGAGACCTTTGGGCTTTGATGCTTATGATCTGCTGGCTTACCCTAGCTTGGATAAATAAAGTTAATAACTGAATTTATTTGCGTGTGAATGTTTCTGTTCGGTGTCCTGAGATGACTTCTGCTGCGACTTGGTGCTATATATAAAGAATCTGAACTGAACTGAATACTATGCTCAGCAAGTCTTTACAAACTGCAGAAGTTAGAGCTCTGATTCAGGTTATATAACCAACTGTAAATATGATACAAGACATTATGCTAATATTTAAATACCTCTTTGTGGCTATTTAGTATTTGTTTGGATACAAAGTAAACTGAAATGACTCCTGATGTCAACAGTAGTTTGGGTCTAATTCCTGTTTTAAATTGACTGCCAAGTCTTGAAATGTGGAAAAATGCATGTGATGATAACAACAAGAGACACACTCCACTCTGTCTTTATTTATGGAACAAAAACGCAACGATCCAGAAGCAGTGTGTAAAAATCACGTTACGGGACCAAGCAGCTTGTACAATAAAAGCTCCTTTAGCAGCAGCGGCGTCACGGTCCATGAAGGGACTAACCCAGACATGATGAGCTTGGGTAAAATGAAATGGTTTTATTAAATAAATGAAAACAAATGGCCGACACGGCAGCAGCTACTTACAAAACACAGAGGAGCCGGAAGGGAGGAGCGAGACATGTGACAGGGAGTCGGGACGATGAGGCGCTGTTAGCGTGGTGACAGAGACAGTTTAAGTGGAGCGGACAGCCCCCGGGTGATTACTAATTGAAAACAGGTGGTGAGCTGAGAGGGGCTGAATCAACAGAAAGATGAGACTGAAGGGACTAAGTAAAAAACTGAACACTGATGCAAGTGGAGGAACGCTGAGCCGCTCTTGTTGCTTCAGTTCCTTGATGCTTGCAGACACTGGATTCTGCTCCGTTCTCTGAAGGTCCAACCACAACATCTGAGTCAGGTCCAAGTTCTGGGCTTGGACTAGACCACTGCTGCACCTCGATTCTTATTCTGTTGGAGATCAGCTGCTGTGTTTGGGATCGTTGTCCTGTTGGACCCAGTTTGGTCCAAACTTCCTCTGCCGGACAGACGGACTCACATTTGACTCCTGAACCCGTTGGTCTACAGAGTTCAAGGCCCGCTCAGTGACTGCAACAAGCCCAAACCATCAGCCCTCCACCACCGTGCTGACAGCTGATAAGGCATTTTGTCCTGTGGATCTGAAACTCCAAATATTCCAAATGTTCCAAACCCAAGTTGTGCTGCCATGTTTGTTTAGACAGAATAGATTTTCTGCTGCAGCCCTTCCAAACAAGCCATGACCTTTAACCTTTAACCTTTAACCTTCTAACAGAGGCCTGCAGAGTCTGAGGTTGTGGCTCACTTCTTTGAACATTGCACGGTCTGACCTTCTAGATGAATCTGCTGTGAAGATTGGCAGCTGTCTTAAAAGCTTTCTCTGTACAATGAAACTGATAGTTTGGAAATAATCTTTGACCGTTTCCACATTGATGAGCAGCAACAGTTGCTTCTCTGAGGTAATTGCTGATGTCTTTCCTGCCTGGTGTTGTGATAACACACACCTGTACGCTCCACAGCAGCAAGATCTTCTGCTTCTCTAGAGATGGTCCCACTGACGATCAGGTAATTAATAAATTCGATCAGCAGCTCCGTGCTGATACTAAACCTCTTAATAGTATTCAAAATGTGCACGTCTTAGACTTAGATTTAATATGTTGATTTATTTTTTATGGTTTTCTTAAATAAGTTATGACACTGTATCATTTTGTCGGTTGTTAATTTGAGAACGTGAGCAGAAAATGAATGTCCTCCTTCCTGATGTGCAGAGACTTTAACAAACCTCTCGTATGGTCCAGAAGTATTTCCCAGCCAGGTCTCTAGGTGAAGCGCAGGTCTCCAGGTCGTCCTCGCGGGTCAGTCTTCGCAGCCACACCAGCTCACAGTTACAATGCAGAGGGTTCCCACCAAAACTCAAAACCAGCGCCGTGAGAGGAGAACCCTTCATCTTGGCGTACACCGGGATCCGAAGGAACAACGGGTCTGGAGGTATTTTCTTCAGCTTGTTGGACGTCATGTCCAGTCTAGAAGAAAACATCAAAGAATTTACAGCCTCTGCATCTTCCATATCAATAGTGATCAGTTAAAGCTGGTTCAAACTGTATGAAAATGATAGAAAACCAAACAAATTGTTGTAATTCCACCCAAATTTAAGTATTAAACCGTACAGGTGCAGCTCATCAAATTAGAAAATCATGAAAAAGTTAATTTATTTCAGTAATTCCATTCAAAAAGTGAAAATTGTATATTATATTCATTCATTACACACAGACTGATATTTTTCAAATGTTTATTTATTTTAATGTTGATGATTATATTTGACAACTAATGAAAACCTGGTACCACACTCTGATCAGCTAATTAACTCAAAACACATGGAAAGACCTTTAAATGGTCTCGGTCTAGTTCTGTAGCTACACAATCATGGGGAAGACTGCTGACTGGACAGTTGTCCAAAAGACGACCATTGACACCTTGCACAAGGAGGTCAAGACACAAAGGGTCATTGCTAAAGAGGCTGGCTGTTCATAGAGCTCTGTGTCCAAGCACAGTAATAAAGAGAGGAGAAGGGAAGGAAACGATGTGGTAGAAAAAGTGTACAAGCAACAGGGATAACTGCACCCTGGAGAGGATTGTGAAATAAAACCCATTCAAAATGTGGAGGAGATTCACAAAGAGTGGACTGCAGCTGGAGTCAGAGCTTCAAGAACCAGCACGCACAGACGTATGCAAGACATGGGGTCCAGCTGTCACATTCCTTGTGTCAAGTCACTCTTGAACAAGCGTCAGAAGCATCTCGCCTGGGACTGCTGCTGATTAGTCCAAAGTAATGTTTTCTGATTAAAGTAAATTTTGTATTTCCTTTGTAAATCCAGGTCCCAGAGTCTGGAGGAAGAGAGGAGAGACACAGAATCCACGTTGCTTGAGGTCCAGTGTCAAGTTTCCACAGTCAGTGATGGTTTGGGGCCATGTCATCTGCTGGTGTTGGTCCACTGTGTTTTCTGAGGTCCAAGGTCAACGCAGCATCTACCAGGAAGCTTTAGAGACTTCCTGCTTCCTGCTGCTGACCAACTTTATGGAGATGCAGATTTCATTTTCAAACAGGACTTGGCACCTGCACACAGTGCCAGAGCTACCAGTACCTGGTTTAAAGACCATGGTATCCCTGTTCAAAACCGGAAGGCAAACTTGCATGACCTTGTGAAGAAGAAGATGTGATTCACCAGAGCCAACAATTCAGAAGAGCTGAAGGCCACGATCAGAACAACCTGGACTCTCAGAACCTGAGCAGAGACACAGACTGATCCACTCCATGACACGATGCATTGATGCAGTAATCCAGACAAAAGGAGCAACAACTAAGTACTGATGATGAACATGCTCATAATTTATGTTCATAATTTTCAATCGGACAACATTTCTAAAAAAAATCATTCTTTTTATTGGTCTTAAGTAATATTCTAATTTTCTGAGATACTGAATTTGAGGTTTTCATTAGTTGTCAGTTATAATCATCAACATTAAAATAAATAAACATTTGAAATATATCAGTCTGTGTGTAATGAATGAATATAATATACAAGTTTCACTTTTTGAATGGAATTACTGAAATATTTTAACTTTTTCATGATATTCTAATTTATGACCAACACCTGTATATTGACCGACAGACATAAGGTTTTTTTTATAGGCCAACCCAAACACACAAAGATGGACAATTTGAGTTGATTTCATGTTTCCTAATCCTTAAAGTGGTCGGTGATTTGTTCTATCTGAGAAAAGGGAAACGTCTTTGGTCAGGTTTGAGCGTTTAATTTCTTTGACCGTTTCATTTCTTTGACCGTTTCATTTCTCCATTTCAGAGGAAAAATAGGCCATGAACACGAGCCCCTGGGAGGTAATTATTTGGAAATAAAAGCCAACATTTACTTTAAAGTCAGCGACTTGGCAGCTCCGGACAGATAAAGTGCAGAAGATGAGAGAAGTAAAGGGTACGGAGGAGGAAGGAGAAACACTGGTGACTCATTTCTTCAAAATGATATTTATGGTTTTGGCGGTGATGTTTTGGGTGGATGAAGTGGGAGGCGAGAGGAGATGGGCAGTCGATCAATCAGGTGGGAGGCTGCGTGAAAAGGTGAGATGGGGGAGGAAAAGAAAGGCCGAGATCAAAGGAGATAATAAGAGGAGTGCTGTAAACGGCTACACTCAGTCAGGCGCCACTTCTCTCTATCAACTCGGAGCTGAAAATATCTGCGACTGGGTTATAAATCTGAAACGTGTTTCCATAACTGTCACAGCAGCTCACGGTCAATTTCAGTCTCACGACTAATTCAGTCATCTCAACCTTTCCCCCAATATCCAAATTTATGACGACAGCGTGATCATAAAGTGCGTTTTGTTTGAAATACGCACACACAATGAACGAAAACCCAACATTTATTTTAAAAACTACAGAGACCTAGATCTCTTTGTTAGTTTTAGTTTTAATGCGACTTTTTCAAGATCAGTCATTATCTCTTGGTCACTGAGCTAGTTTTATCTTGAGAAAACAAGATATTACCTAAAAACAAATGAGCTAAATCAAAATAGGACGATCAGGGAGAATTTTGTGTTACTGTTGCCTAAATATAATGTTTTTAATTATTTTTGTTTATGAGAAGTGAGCCTTTCCAGGCTGAGAAAAAACCAAACACTTTAACTCTTTAATTAAAACCAAAAAAAGAAGAGTTTCACTATCTTGAGAAAATGAGCATCGTTATGTTGAAATATTGAGATGATCTGCTTAAGTGTTCAATAAATAACTGCATGAAGAGATTTTTAAGCATGCTTACTTTCTAATTCCATAAAATGAGCTTTTCTAAGTCAAAATAAACAAACGCAGTTCAAGAAAACAAGTTGAGATGGATAAAAACAAACTTATTTTGAAAACTCACTGAGATCATTTTAAATGTTTGTGGGGCAGCGGTTGAAATAAACTCGTCAGGCACTAGGACCATGCAGCACATGTTATGAAGGCAGCTGCTCCCGCCCCCTTGCAGGCTCTGCAGCTACGTGCTGAGGGGAAGAGTTTCGGTTGCATTTATTTAAAACAGAAAAGACTTAAAGCCGAGTTCTGGAGGAAATAAAACGATTGTTTTGAGGTGAGAGGAACCAAACAGAACTTTGAGGTAAGGAGAAAAAAAAAAATCTAAATATCCAACCAAGTTAAGTTTTGTCCTCTGGATGGTTTCTTTGTGCTGAATGAATCTAAACATAATGTTCTCTGAGGGTCCTAATGATATATTGTTAGTTTTCTTTGTAAAATTAGGGTTAACTGTTTAAACAGTTTAAATTTTCACTGAAGGGCTTGTAGGCTGTTTTGATGTCATCGTGTTGGTTTCTAATGAGGTTAATTTGAGCTCCTTGTGAAAACGAGTTCAACCTCACCCGAGTTCAAAGGTCACACAGTTTTACAGAAAAGTTAGAAGGTCATGTGTGACCTCAGGTTTGAAAATATAAGAAATCAGGCAGGAGAGAGAACAGTCAGCTGACTGACAAAATATTTTTTAAATTTAAACACTGTTAAAATCTCGTCTCACACTCGTGACATGAGTCACGCACCCTTAGTTGATCACGGAGGCCAACGCTCACCGTTTACACATGTACCATCAAATCATCTATCCGATAGTTTCATAGTTCAGTGCCATGTGTGATTTACGTCTCAAAAGCATGAAATTTTCCATCCAAATCAGCAAACCTAGAAAATGTGTTAAAATCCTCAAGAGTTTAAAGTTGTCAGCGACAAACGTGCAATAATTCTATTTCCTCCTTTAAAGTCCTTCCAGAACTGTTCAACAGGGAAGACTTAACGATCAGTTAATAAGTGCTGAGGGCGTCGACCTCGCTGCACTTCACACTATTCAATTATAGGTTTTCATGTGCAGCGCGGGGGGCGGGGGCCGGGGGGGGGGGGTTAATAATGTCTGTTTGTGTGTTAAACTCAACACACACCGGTTGATCCATGGATGTTTCAGCTTCATGTCCACTGGGGGAGGGGGGGACAAAGATCCATTAAATGCCTGTTTGCGTTCATCGACCTCGGTTGATATTTCTCTTTTTACTCGTCAATGAAAGAGTTCAGTTACGATTGATTACTGGTAATTGGCTTTACGTGGTATTTTGTGGCGGAGCAGAGGATCGATGCACGCGTGTCGGTGCTGGTTTTTACTGCGTGTCGCAGTGAAACCAGGCAGACGTGCCGTGTTGAAGGTCTAAACGTGTTTTTATGAGACTTCATTTCAACCTCTGGAGAGAATAAAAACAAAAACACGTAAAAATAAAGTAAAACAGCAAACAGTGAATTCTGAACTATAAAATAAATACAACATAAAATAATAAAGACTGAAGCAACAGCCTAAACATTCACATACAGATACAGCTGTATGACAGACAGACAGAGAGATAGCTCTGTAGAAAGACAGAAAGGCAGACAGACAGATCTGCACACACACACACACACACACACACACACAGACAGACAGACAGACAGGCAGACAGACAGACAGACAGGCAGACAGACAAGCAGACAGACGGAAAGCTCTGTAGACAGACAGACAGGCAGGAAGACAGACAGACAGGCAGGCAGACAGACAGACAGACAGACGGAAAGCTCTGTAGAAAGACAGACAGACAGACGGAAAGCTCTGTAGAAAGACAGACAGGCAGACAGACAGACAGACAGACGGAAAGCTCTGTAGAAAGACAGACAGGCACACAGACAGCTCTGTAGAAAGACAGACAGACAGGCAGGCAGACA